TGGTGAAACTATATGGGTGTCAAGAAGTTGCTGGTAAAGCTCTTTGTAGGTTCTGGGAATAGAATCAAAATGTTCCTATTTTTTATGAGACATGTGAATGTAATAAAAAAAGAAAAATAATGCGAAATATGCAGGAATGCATGATGCATACAATGTTCGAGGCATTGATCCAAAAATGTGTCTGTTATTATAAATAATCCTCATTGGGGACAAAAGTGTTTTATCTTTTAAGAGACAAAAATATCTTGACAACTTTTGACATGTTGACTAGTCTTCTGCCTTCATCTTTCACCAATTGAATAATCTGTCGAACTGCTCTGGATTCTCTGGATGAACCGTGCAAATGTTAAGTTACTTTTTGTACTGGCCCAAGAAGTCTCGAATGACTGCATCTCTGACATTTATCTTTTGTTGAACCTATTCCCAACGAATACGTCATTGGAGCCCTCAATTGATAAGAACTATGTGAAGTAATTTGTTGTTTCTTGAATTCGTCAGCATTGGTCTCCAATTTCAGCTATCGTTTTTCCATTGTTGTCTTTGAAGGGACTCCCAAGATCAGTAACCTTCATCTTGTCCCTGCAACCTCTGCCAGTCAGTTTTTCAAAGATAGACTTTCATTATGCTTGATGTAGACCCGATTCATTCTGAGTCCTTTATAATGCAGCAGAGTGATATACTCTTCAATTGTGGACACCACGTCTTCTGGATTGAATATGATACATAGTCACCTTGTAGACTGTCCTCTGCATTTTCATCTCTTGTATTACAACCCCTTTATCTATTAATACAATTATTCAAGTTTAACTAACACGTTTTTGGTGGACAACACCTCTTTTAAATGATGCAAATGATGAAAACAAAATAAAAGAGAAAAAATAAAAAGAGTTAGAGAGGTAAATCAAAACAATAATAATAATGAAAAATCCTACCCCACATGATATCTACCCCACATGCCTTAATTCCTACCCGGACATGATCTATCCCGCATGTTAATTTCAAACAAATCCTAACCGCATATTTGTCTAGTTCGCATGCTTTGAACAGAAAGTAAAGTAGGAAACAAAGCATCATAGGGTTTGGAATGAGGTTTTTGGGAGGGCTCTAATTCCCTATTCTCCCGGTTTAGATTCTAAAAAGGTACTCGAGTTCTCCTTGCTGGTTCCCCCTTGGGCTTGCCAGACCCTTAGTCTTAAGCCCATTACAAGCTTATGTTGACTAAGTTAAACTCGAGAGGATACATTCCCTTATGCCTATGCGGTGAATAAATTCACACGAAGACATAAGGTATATGAATCCCGAAGGCTACTTGCTAGGCCCGCACGGTGAATAAATTCACACGAAAGCGTCGCTTTCACCCCCACTTAAATAGGGTTCGGATCTCAGGTATAGAGCCTGAGATGAAAAAAGTCAAAGATATGAAATCATTGAAAAAACATCAATACAACTATTTATTTGAAAAATAATCAAAGATAAATAATAAGAATCGAATAAATAAATTAAAATTTAAACTTGTAATTTCGCTAAAAAAGACAACTGGAAATTAATTTCGGCCTGACTCACTTACCTGTCCCCAGTGGAGTTGCCAAGTTGTCGCGACCGGCTTTCAGTTGGACCCCAAATTAGGCTTCAACTTGGATTAAATGAATTGAAGTTGCCACTGACCATTTAAAACGAATTTAGGTAGGTCAGACACCAGCTTACTTGATCTACGTTGTACCAGAAACGTGTCGGGTTCGGGAGTCGGTTACGGTCAAAGAAGGATTAGCACCCTTGAACTGCCCTTTCGATACCAATTAATTCATTAGTTATCTTAATCGTGGAAATCAAAATTGAAATTTAAAAATTCAATTCGAATTAATTATCTTTGATCGATTGAAAGTATCCTTAAAAATTCAAAAGTGTTGGATTGTGAAAATGAAAATAAACATGAGAAAATAATAATAAAAAATATTAATATTAGGATAAAATGAAAAATATATATAAAGTAAATAAATAAAAAATGAAATAAAAAGAATAAGTCAAAAGTTGTTACATCTCCCATGTTTTACGTGTAGAGAAACTGGATTTGCAATGAAAAAGCTCTGCCACTCCTCGTGCTTTTAGATACTGGCTTTGGATCCTCCACGCTTATTTTTTGTCATTTTCTTTCCTCAGTTTTTCCAAATCGTTGCCCCTTCCTCTGATTTTGGTTCCACGTTTTTCTCTGTGTCTTTCCTCTTGATGCATGAGTCTATTTATAGTCTAAAGAAACCTATTTTTAGCTCAGATTTAGAGTCCTACTTGGACTCAAAATGCTTCGGTTTTAGTGTTTTAATAGGACTCAAATACGTTGATTTTAGTGTTTTAATAGGACTCAAATACATTGGTTTATTTTCTGAATCTCACTAAATCGAGGTTGTTGAGTGTGGGGCCTACAAAAATAATAAAATAAAAATATAATAATAATAATAATAAATAAATGAATGTATAATATAATAAAATATTTTTGTAGAACCGAACTAAAACGGGTGTCTACAGTACCGATACTACCCAACCCAATAACCTCGATATTAATCATTTTTAAAATTCTTATCGAGTATTCATTAACAAGCTCTTATTATAAAGCTAAACGTTTTCTATCATTATTATCACATTGTTATCTCATTATTATTATCAATTACAACATTTATAGACTCTTCCCTCGAGTCTCAATTCATTACCCATTCATTTAGTAACTCAACTCTTACTAGCAGAGGTTGTTTCATTCACTTAGGCCCACTAAGACAATTTAATAATTTTAGCCCCTAAGTGCATTCTAGTAATTCACCTCACTCACAAGTATATCAGATGTTTAAGACTTACATAAAAGGTACTTAATTAATTATTAGTCTTAACATCTTTTTCCATGTGCTCTCAAGCTTTTCGTGTCACTTATTATGACCAATGGTATTATGATTATTTTACCCGTTCAAGGGTATTTCAAGCTTCCTTTTAAGTCTAACAAGCGATCTTTCATGGCTTACATCATTTCTTAGTCTTATTCTTTCAAAGGTATTATCATATCCTTAAGGTTTATTCAAAACTAGGGGTAATTTTCTTAATTTCAACCTTCTAAGGGCATTTTAGTAATTTCCCACCTTCCTAAGCTAAATGCTCGATCTCAATGTTATTAAAATCCTCACTCTTGAGTTTATTCAATATGTTAAAGTCTATTAAACAATCATCACTGATGGTATCGATACTTTTATATGGGTATCGATACCTAGGCTAGGGTATCGATACTCTTCTTAAGTATCGATACCGAAAATAGCCTAAAAGTCCCCTAAAATACCCTTAGTATAGATGCATGTAGTATCGATACTCCTTGAGTATTGGTTCCAAAATTAGCTTCGAAATGGCCCAAAAATCACTCTTTGTGTTTTTCAAATGAGTAGTATCGGTATTCCCCTTTGTAGTATCAATACTACCCTTATAAAATATTCTAATTTTACTCATAATATGAATAGTATTGATAATACATATCAATACTACAACTTAGAAATACCCTGTTTCACACAAGAAACACCCTCAAACTCAACCCAAATACTTATTTTAAGGCCTAAACTGATGGTTAATGCTTTTGAAAGTCATTAAGGGTCATCATACATCATTTTTACACTAAAGTGACATCTAAAATGCCCAACACAATCATCAAGCACTCAAACCCCCAACATGCTTCACCATCACATACAAGCAAGCAAACTCATGCAAATGTCATACAAGTAGTTTAAGAGTTAAAGTATGTTACTCAACACTTAGCAACCCAAAACCTCTCTAGCTTACCTAAGAACCAATATTTTCTTAACCTTGCTCTTTGGGGGTTTCTTGCACCACTCTTCCTCTACCAAAAGCCACAATTTGATTCCAACATAAAAATGAATGAAACTAGTTGTTAGACAACTATAACACAAGGAAATCAGATGAAAATATTAGAGGAAGTTCTTGGAGCTTAAATCCTCTATAAAAGTTCCATGCCAAAATCCCCCAAAGACCCACGTGAAAATAAGCTGAAAATCCTTCCAAATCATCATGCTTAATGGTAAAATTGCATTCTAGGTCCCTCTTCTTTCATCTCAAATTTAAAAATCCTCTTTTTATCTCTAATAAGATCAATTTCTTACCCCATTTATCCTAAATTCGAATCGGTGAACCTAATAAATTCTCAGGTTAACATGAAACTATTAGCCCAATATTCAGTTTTTTAAAAAAATGTTATGTTTTTTAAAATATTTTAATTTATTTAATCATTTTCATGTCAAGCGTACATGTCAAGAGTACAAGTTTTGTTTAGTGAGATTTACCTTTTAAGAATATAGTTGTTTTTTTATCTTATCGAAAGACCCTGTGTAACTGTACAAGCCCACTTCTTAACCTAATTTTCTAAACTCAATTGATTGTTAAAGCAGCACCTATATATATCCAGATCTGGATGTTTACCTTATTATTATTTAAAATGAATTTTTTAGAAATAAAATTTTATTTTTAAAAAAAATCATATAACTATAATAATTTTAAATTTTTTTATATAACTATATTTTCAGAATTTTCACATAATTGTAATATTTTATAATTTTTTACATAATTATAATATTGTTTTAGAATTTTTCACACGATTATAAAAGTTTTGAGTTTCACATAGTTATAATAATTTTTTCAATATCAACGTCTGCATAAGGTGATTGAACGTTTTAATATTTTAAAATTTTTCATATAATTATTATACTTTTTAGAATCTTCACATAGCTGTAATATTTTTCATATTATAATATTTTAAATTTTTTACATGGTTATAATATTTTAGAAAATGAAAACTTATTTTACGTAATTCTAGAGTTAGGGGGGGAAAGTTACTAGTGGTCCCACACATGCCATTGTGCCCTTACCTTTCAGATAAGCTTTTGTTTTTTTTTGGAGCAATTTTCTCCCCATCTTCAACGCCGAAACGCAAAATAATATTATCCAAAACGCAGCTTCAGTCTCGAGCAAACAAATATCTTGAATTTCTTCTTCGAACCCAATCTAATCAATCATGCATTTCTTCAACTTTCTCACACACCCTTTTGTCTGAGTATCTTGGAAACTGCAGCACATAGGAAGGAAAAAGGACAAGATGTCAGTTTTGGCAGCGAATTCTCAAGTTATGTTCCCAGAAATCTATCAAAGATACCAACGGCAGCAGCTTTGGAACAGTGGGAGCTGTTTGTTTTGGCCCAAGAATTCTGGGTTTTCCGGGACTGTTTGGAGTGATGGAAAATGGAAGAAGAAGCAGAAGATGAAGAGGAGAACCTGGAGAGTAGAAGCTGCTTGGCCTGATTTGTCGAAACCCAGGGCGATTGAAATGGAACCCATCAACGACTGTGATCAGCTTGATCAGATTCTAGCTGCTGCTCAACAGCTTTCCCAACCTGTTCTCATTGACTGGTTCGTTCTATCTTCTTCTAACTCTTTCCTTGAGTGTTATTTTTTTCAAAGTGAAAAGGATGGGTTTTGTTTGATTGTTGATAGGATGGCTGCTTGGTGCCGGAAATGCATCTATTTGAAGCCAAAGTTGGAGAAATTGGCAGCTGAGTTCCATACCAAGTATATTTATTTCCCTTCTTTCTTTTCCATTAATATGTTCAAAACCAATATAAATTGCTCTGAATCTTACACACGAATTAAAAAAGAAAGAAAGAAAGAAAACCAATGTTATGAATTATGATACCTGGAATCCATTAATGTATGCAAAACCTATAAAATTTTTAACAGCTACGAAATGTTGGTGACAATTTAATTACATGTTATGTTATAAATTGACTAATGTGTTATGTTGGAAGAATCAAATTCTATTACGTGGACGTCAACAAAGTACCTCAAACTTTAGTCAAACGTGGAAACATCTCTGTACGTACTACATGCTTTCTCTAATTCAATTATAATTACCAAAAAAAAAATACCTCACCGTTTCATGTGTTTCTCCTAGCAGAAAATGCCTACAATTCAGGTATGTTCACTCTGCCTTCAATATAGAAATACAAATATCTGAGAATTGGATTATCTGAAAAGATGAGAATTGAGTGCAGTTATGGAAGGACGGGGAGATGAAAGAGGAAGTAATTGGAGGGCACAAAGCATGGCTTGTCACCGAAGAAGTGAGACAAATGATCCAAAAATTTATCTGAAGAAAATACAGGGATTAATTATCACTTTTTTTTCTCTTTTATGTGCATTACTATATGAGATTGTCATGGGATATTGATACTGCTACTCTCTCAATGCCACCTATATCTTTATCTGTACAGTAAAAACCAAGTCGTTAGATTAACACATCAGAGTCGAGATAAAATTCATTTGATTTCAGTGGCTTTTACATACTGTATCGAAACATGCAATGACATTGGATTTATTTAACCTTAAACAGCAATGGCGCAAACATCTGACACACCTCACAAATTACATCATTTGGAATGATCACAACGCATGTAGTCGATGACCTTAAGGCTCAAGTCCTTGTACCACTAAAAAAATCTTAATCACAATATACTAAAGTTCTCTTTAACTAAAAAGGGGGTGTACACATATGTCCAAACAACAACCTCCATTAAAGTTAAACTATATGCCATAAATTAAGGATCAACACTGGCACATCCAAACCAAACCCCTTTTAAAGCAATCCTTATTCATCTTTTAACCTCATAATTGAACATTCCGCATTTCGCGTCCAAAAATGCTTCCACATGTTATTTAGAGGGCTAACATCGTTGGCAGAAAAACAAATGTTTCACTCTGAACAATACACATTCCAGTAAGTGAACTAGGAATTTAATTAAAACCACAACTGCCATATGAAGATGCTAGATTATCATGACAGAGACAAGATCATGCTTCCGCTGGCATTCTCAAAGTAATCAACCTTAGAGAATTTGTAGCCAAGTTAACCATTGTCCAAGCACCAGGTATTATGTAAACCAATTGAAATCCAAAACATACATAAATGGATTATTAATTAGCTTAAACCAACTTGCAATAAGTAGGAGTAAATCAACCACAATTAAAACTACATCAACATGCTCACTAACTATGCAGATAAAATTGCATCATATCCCTTCACCCTACAAGATAGTAAATCAACCCACAAACTTAACTTCACCCGTGAGGGTTCAATCATTCTAAATGCAACGACCCAATGCAAAAAACCACACGCTTCTTACTGAAGAAAGAACAGTATTTCAATTTAACCTTTTCTACAGAATCATCAAAGATAAATACATAGAAGTAGCAAAGAATTAAACCAAAAACTCAACATGATCAACTCAAATGTAACAACATAACACTAACATGTACCCAGAGAATAAACATCATCAAGGCAACATTTTCGTCACTGTCATTATCACAAGTCTGAAGAAATAGTTTGGATATTGGAAAACAAGACAGCAACGACACTCGGTACAACTTTCAACTTCAAAAAACATGAACCAGTACACCAAGATCAGACTTGCACGGTCATAATAATAGCTAAAAGAAAGACTTCACAAAGCTCTAACAATTCAAAAGCAAGAAGAAAAAAAAAAGAGCACTTCCTCCTTTGAGAATAAAATAAATCATATCCCAAAACCAAATACTGCTCGTATCTTATTGAAAATAAGGTTCCTCCATCCTCTCTCTGTGTTCTCCACCACAGTAGCATTCCCATATCTGCATCACAAATCAACACAAAAACAAGATCAATAACCTGATTCGAACATAACAAATTAGCCATATCAGATTATAAAACAAATAAAAACCAACCTGTCTTCCTCAGGAACATCTGAATGAGTGAGTTTGATTATAGTAACCCCAGGCTCAGGCTCATCGAAAACAAGTCTTACCTGCAACAACAACCCATTAATGAAAACGGACAGTGTTATACATAGTACTAAATTGCGGTTGCGAATGTTGCAGAAATTACGACGTGATATGACTTTGACAATTAACCTCATTTCAGAAACCTTCTACACCATCATGATAAAAACTCATCGGCCAAGACTCTAGCCAATATCGACAATAATTGAGCCCCAATGTATTTCCAAAAGCTTAAGGAACAGTCAAAAGAGATATTCATTGAGCTTACCGTAGAATCAACCCCGTCAGGCCAACTCCCAAATCTCCATCTCTGAGCAATCAACTTCCCTTCTTGCAACTCCAAGTTAATACCAGTAACGGATCCATCAAAAATACTAAATTGGCCGTCAACTTCTTTACTTATCCTAGCATTACTCTGAGTAAACCCTTTCCACCTATTCTCGTCCATCAAAATCTCAAACATATCCTTAGCTCTACAATTAAACTTCTCCGACATCGTAATCGTTTTACACCCTTTCTTCCCTTCCTTCTTCGCTTCCTTCTCCACCGCAGCTTTACCCTTAGACACCACAGCCGAACTTCTATTGCTATTGCCAGTACTATTACTTTTGGGTGCCAATTTCTTAGCTTCCAATTCATCTTTAACGGGACCTCCATTCGCCATAGCTTTAACATAATCCCTCACTTTCTCTAAAACCAAAGGCTTCCCTTTAGCCAACATCGCTTCCTTCAACGTTTTACCAATGGGTCCTTCGTCTTTAACCGTCACCTTAACCTCGGGATCTTCGTCGGCATTCTCGTCGGCAATATACGGAATCTCGACATTACCTTCAGTTTTCAACAAAGTCTTACCTTCCTCGTCTTTGGCTTCGCCTTCCCAAGATAAATTCAAACTGATCTCGTATCCGGGAATAATCTTACCCTTCCGGATATTGACATAAGCTTCACCGTCGACCTTTTCGACCTTTTTGGTCGTGATGTAGAGATTGGAATCGCCGGTAAGGATGGGGAGATCGGAAAGGGTTTTGGTAAAGAAGGTTTTTGACCATGGGAGGCAATCGGTTTCTGCCCAGTGCAAGTTATGGACGTTGGCACCGTCGGCTCTTTCCTTCACAATCCACCGTTTGTCGCCTTCGCCGTACTTCGCCATTGACGTGAAATAAGAAGAGGGTGGTGAATTAGGGATAGAGGGATAAGGGCGGCTGCTGGGTTATAGGGAGGCCGCTGATCCAAAGGCCAAATTTGAAAGGAAGATAAAATGGGAAGGTTTGCTCTCGGGGGTTCGGATCGGGGAGTCTAGAATGTGGGATTTGATGAAGTAAGGTCATTTCGTTTTGGAAGGATCTAGAACAAGAGTTTGAGCGAAATTTCATAGAGCAACCATTTTTTTTTCCTTTTTAATTTGATCATAATTTTTAAAATTTTACAATAAAATAATCTAATTATTTAAATGTCTTTAATCTGATAACTTATCGTTATCATTTAACGAAAGTATTGACATAATAATTAACAAAATTGATATAATTAGATTCTTAATATTTATATCTTCTTTTAATTTAGTCATAATTTTATTTTGATTTAATAAATTTAACTTCTAATTAAATTGTGACACGTGTCATTATCAGATTAGGAGATATTTTACTTATTTATTTATTTTATTTTATATTAAATCAAATGATAATACATATCACTACCTTATTTGATACAAAATAATGTGAAGAAATAATATGCAATTGGCGAGTATCTTATCAACAGCATAAAGTTATTCTTAGATGCGATTGAAACACTGAGGTAAGCCCTCCACTTTGTAATATTTTATAACATTATATATCTAAGGTTTTCGGTTGAAGACCATCTGATGAAAGAAAAACAAATTAAAAGAGAAAAAAGTATTCAAAGGGGATTAAACAAGGGTCTTCGAGAGTAGTTGAGTATACTCGTACCATCAAACTACGACTAATAATTAGATTATATCTTACAACATATACTGCAACATATCTTCAAGAGTAGTTGGGTATTGTAATACCCCAAATATCAGGTCAGAGACTTTATTGAAAAGATTTAAAAATTTAAAATTTATTTGAATAAGTGGTAAAAGATGAGGAAATGATTTGAAATAGTGTTTAGACTAAATTGTAACAATAGATAAATTAAGAGGACACTTTGATCTTTTAAGAGGTAAAATGAATTTAAAATATATCTTATTAGGGATTGTAAAGGGGGAAAAGATGAAAGTAAGCTCTTTCTATTCTTCTTCTCCTTTACTCACGTGGGTAGTCATCTCCTCTATAGCATAAGGTAAACTTCCATTAGTTAGTTTTTCCTTTAAATTTTGGGTTGCTATTGTAACATTAAGTGATATGTAAGCTTAAGGAATGATTAAAGAATATTAAAACTAAGTGGTTGATGTTTTATATGAGATTTAAGGAAATGGGTTTTTGAATGATATGTTGATATATGAGTTTTTATTGAGGTTTATTAGTAGATTTGACTTGTCAAATGATTGAATAAGAGATTAGAAGCATGAGATATGATTATAAACATGTTTAGAAAAATGATATGATTCTTGAGTTGAAGTGTTCTTTGAATATTCTAAATGTTATAAGAGGTTAAATGAAAGAATGTTTGTGAGGTTAAGTGAAGAAAACATTAATAGTATTGTTGGAGGTAAAAGGAAGAGATTAGAGGGGAAAATTTAGTAAAAATCGGGCTGAAAAATGGTAAATCTAGGTAAGGGTATCGGTACTGATAGAACAATTCCGATACTATAGGTGTAAATAGGTAGAAATGTGATGAACCGTATCGATACCGATGTAAGTGGTATCGATACTGATGGGGTATCGATACTAACAAAGGGAAGTATCGATACCATGGATCCAAAATGTCAAAATAGTATCGATACTGAAAGGGGGTATCAATACCATAGTATAATAGTATCAATATTGTGAGAAAGGTATCGATACCATGCAAACATAGAATGTAGAAATGATATCGATAATGAAAGAGGGTATCGGTACCATAGTGTAGAAGTATTAATACCAGGGTAGTAGTACCGATAATATTGAGTTTGGAACTACAAGATAGTTTGAAATTGTTATAGAAATTGAAATAATGACACTTTTGAATATTATTAAAGTATAATGTTAAGGAGTATACTAACATAGGTATGTATGTGTACATAATGGATGCTTGTGTAGATCGTAATCAAGCTCCTGAATCTAGCAACAAAAATGGGAAGGATAAAGTTGTTGATTAGCCAGACATCTCTACACCTTATTAGTGGGGATTATCAGGTGAGTACAATTATTGTAAGAGAAAATAACCTCAGTGACCGAAAATGCCTTATAATATACAATTTTAACCAACTTTTTTTGGATTTGCCAAAATGACCAACAAATTCGCAACGCGAACTCCAATTTCGCAACCCAGTTTCCAAATTCGCAACGCGAATATGTAAATCGCAACACAGAAGTCAAATTCGCAACGCGATAGTCAAATCCGCAACACAAAAGTCAAATTCACAAAGCAATAGTCAAATTCGCAACGCGAATTTTTAAATCGCAACACAAAAGTCAAATTCGCAACGCGATAGCCAAATTCGCAACACAAAAGTCAAATTCGCAACGCAATAGTCAAATTCGCAACACTGAATTTCAAATTCGCAACACAAAAGTCAAATTCGAAACGCGAAACACAATATTAATTTCGCAACACAAATGTAAACAGTATTATCGCAAATCATAACTTAAAACCCTAAATCACAACTCAATCTCATATCTATCTCTCACTCTCTACGGCGACATCTGTCCCCATCTCCGGCGAAATCCGTCTATCTCCATCTCTTAGAGCAACCCTCACAACCATTCACGGTCAGAAATGGAAAATCAACCACCGAGGGTTAGTTTTTTAATCTCTTATTTTTATTTTGAATTTTTTTTTATTATTAGATTTTTCTTATATTGATGATAAATTTACTGGTAATTTCAATATATATAAAGATTAACCATTTCACTGAGATTGCTTAGTAAATTCATTTGATTGCTGCCAATACTGCTAAACTGTTTAGTCTTTAACCATGTGAAGTTAGTATTAAAGTTTCGTCCCTGTCAACACCGTTAATAATTTAATGTTTAAGACAATATTTTCATATTTTAGAAAATAAAGAATAAACTAAAAAGTTGTAAAAATTAAATATAACATTATACTATTAAGAAATTTAACATTAGGTTTAGAAGTATTAGCATATCTAAATGGAGTTCAAGGTGGGTCATTGTCCATCATGGAATTCGAGTTTATATGTAATAGTGGTCCATTTTATTGATGATATCAATCATGAAATTTTATTTGTGTCTATTCTATACAAAATTTGTATTATTATTAATATATATGTATTCACTCCCAAATAAATATTTCTAAATACCTCCATGTTTAAAATCTTATAAATAATAAAAAAAATTGGACAAGTATAAAGAGATTTCGTGTTAATTTTCTAAAGATATTTGTGCTAAAATTACCAAATCAACATTTGGTCAACAAAATGGCAACACATAGAGAGGATAATGACAACATTTTCTTTGGAAGCAAACAACTTGGATGAATGTAAAATTTATTTGTCTTCTTTCCTCATATTTCATCACCCTCTCTCGATGTAAATCACAATGAAAAAAAAAAATCAAATAGGACTACAAAAACATTAAATGAAAAATTAACTTCATGACTTGTAATAGTTAAAGAAACTCACTGCAACATTTATTTTATTAAGCTTTTGAAAAAAAAATATTTTTTGGAATATTGAGCCATAAAAAATATTTCTTTATTTATTACAATCTCATGTAACTTTTATATTTTTTAAAGAAGAAATTAATTTTATTCAAAAAAAAAGATCTCAAATTATAATAAAGATTTACAATCACAATCATTGAAACAAAACTAGCAACTTAAGATCACATAAGGACCATACAAGGAAATATTAAATCTAACCAAGAAATCCGAACAAAGATAAATACAAACAGATCTGATCGCATCGACAAACGAACCATAAAAGGGATAAATCTATTGAAAGATCACCGACAAACCGCAAATGTAACACCCCTAACCCGTACCCGACCCGAATACGAGTCTGAGATGTCACATTGACTTTTTAAAACAAAATTCTTACCAAATAACAGAGTATTTGAACTTATTTTGAGAAAATACGATGATATATTATTGAATTATGTTTGTTATAACTAAATTAAGAAACTATACATTTTATGAACAGTAAAATATGATATTAACACTACCGTGAACAGTACTGAACAGTGCTACAGTGCACCGATGCACTAAAATATCGAAGCAAAATTATGCATTGATACACTGCTACAGTACTTTCGTAAAACGTACATAAAACTCGTAAAAATTTAATTGTTCATTACTATACATTTATATTTATATAAATACGTGTTGAAAACATTTTGATATTTCGGTATAACAAATTAAGTTAAATGAATTTTAAGATTTTCCAAATGATTTTCTAAGTATATTCGATAGAATTATTCGAATATCAAAACATTACTCCAAATCTTTCAAAGATCATTTTTAATCCTTACTCAAAGTGTAAAATTAAGTTTTAATCTTAAAACAATTTCAAAATAATTTTACAAAGTATTTCGAACCATTTCAAAGCTAAAAATTCCATATTGCTCAGAGGGAACCGACTCCCCCCTGAATGGTTTGGCTCCGAGAATTCCAGTATGCTCGGAGGGAACCGATTCCCCCCAGGGGGTACCGATTCCCCCCTTTTATAACGGTCGAAATATTTGAATTTTACACTTAAGGAACCGATTCCCCCCACGCTCCAAACTGTTTTATTAATTGTTTTCACACTAAAACGGCTATATTATTTTCTCTAATTATCCCCAACGTTCAGAAGTGATTCAAGGTGTATTTAAGCAAGCTTAGAAGCCATTGATCAACAACAAGAAACATCAAGCAATTAGAATCAAGAGAGAATCAAAGAGAAAGCATCAAACCTCAAGTTTGAGTATTTCAAGCCTATTTTTCATTCAATATTCATTTTACTTTCAAGAACACTTATTGTGCTCAATTGTATTTATTCTTGAGTGTTCTTTCTTTGTTCTAGAATTGTGCAAACATATTTGCCTTGTGAGGTGTTTCTTGTAAGTTTGCTAATTTGTATTTCTCTTTGAGAAAAGAGTGTTCTCAAGAATTGGGGTATATTCTTGAGGGAGTTGTAAGGTTATCTCTTTGGCCTCAAAAGAAAGAACAAATTAGTGAATTTGTTGGAAAATCCTTAGTG